CAGGAGCGGTCCCACTATGGCTTGCTTAAGGGGAGTAGGAACCATGCCCGGCCTTAAGCAGCAATTTTAAAAAATGAACAGCGAGGGGTCCACAGCGTCAATTTCCTCCTTCATTATCCCGGCTGTGACATTTCAACTTGAATCAAATACCTGGGGCTGAGGCCACGCACATTCCCACCAACCTCTAGAAATGTAACAAGCTGATTTTTTAATAGTATAGTAATAGTTATCATCATTATTATTGGTATTTTTTTTTATTTACTTCCCCTCCTTTTCCCTTTCTTGCATTTCATAGACTGCATAAATTGGAAATACCCACACTTCACACACTACAACCTTGTTAAATACTCTATATCCTTTTGTAATGTCATGTAACTGTTGTCTTGTCTCCCATGTTCGGTGCTGTTTTGTTAATGTGTTACTTTGTTTCAATAAAAATAAATAAATAAAAAAACTCACTCTACAGTACATCAGTCATCATATTGATAAAGATGATGACAATATTTTATTTGGATTTAAGTAAAAACAGCTTCTAAGATGTCTACTAATGAACTGGATGGCTCCTTTGTCATTTGTGTACAAGGGATTTATCTGTACCCCGTTTTGCTTCTGGACAGAAATTTCTGATCCCTACTTTGTAAAAGGCAGCTCCTCATGACGAGGGACCACCACCCTGGTCTGCCAGTCCAGAGGCACTGTCCCCAACCACCATGCGACGTTGCAGAGGCATGTCAGCCAAGACAGCCCCACAACATCCAGAGACTTAAGGTACTCAGGGCGGATCTTATCCACCCCCGGTGCGTTACCACCAAGAAGCTTCAAGTCCACCTCCGAGCCCCCAGCCTCTGCTTCCTCGTCGAAAGACATGACACTAATAATAATAACAAAAATAAAATAAAAACAGTTAGTTCTATTTGTAGGAGTTTGTGGGACTGTGCGTGTCCTCGCCCTCAGGTGTGTGGTTTAAGTTAAAGGTGGTGTCAGTAAAGGTTGATGTATTAGTCTTATTGGTGGATGTTTTTTCTCTATTGTGATGTGTGAAGGTTGGTCCAGTGTGTAATGACTTTTTAGATTTAGGCTATTCTTTTATTAAACACAAAGTCACATTAATGTTGCTTCCTATGGGTTAATCTCTAAAAGTCAAAAAACTAAATCCAAATTACAGTTCCGGATATGCAATCCCAACTTTCGAATGAAATTTGAATTTGTACTCATTAGCCTGAAGACACTCCTACTGTGGCTAGCAGGTCATAGCAGCAGCACATGCTAAGCTAAGCTAATCATCTCCTGGCAGTAGCTTCATATTTAATGTACAGATACAGTATGAGACTGTCATCAGCCTTCTCTGTACTATAACTCTTGGCAAGATTGTAAATGGTTCAAGATTCAAACCTTCCATCCATTATCTACTGTATACTGCTTATCCTCTTGGGTCTTGGGGGACTGGAGCAAATTCCACCAGAGGCAAAGTAGTCACAGGGCTGACACATACAAACATTCACATTCATAACTACCAGCAATTCAGAGTCACCAGTTAACTTAAACCTGCCTCTGGACTGGGGGAGGAAGCCAGAGTATCCAGAGAAAACCCATGCAGGCATGGGGAGAGAATTGATCAGCATTAAACAATTCAATACTTGGTTTAATACTCAAGGAACCACTATTGCTCCACAGTATACACAAATTTATGTTAAATTACTTAAAACTATGCTACTGTTAATGAGTTTACAGCTGACCAGTGAGAAAATAGTGTATTTGGCAGCATTGAAGCTATAACAAGTATATTTGTGGGGCGACTGGGGTTCAGTGGGTAGAGTGGTAGTCTCCCAACCGGAGGTTTGAATCAAAGGTCAGAGTGTTTATTTGTCATATGCACAGTTAGGAAACGTGTTTCCCTGTACAATGAAATTCTTATTTTGCCGTCCACATGAATGCCACAAAATACAAATGAAATATAAAGTAGATGAGCAATAACATATCTAAATAGGTAGTAAAAAAATCTAAGGCACTTTAAAGCAAGAACAAAGACAGAATATAATGCAGAGAGAATATATGCTACATGGGAGCCGTGAAGTGCAAATATTCAGCAGTGAGTGTGCAATTGTGCATGTGTAAAATGAGTATGTAAACAGTACAGATGGAATTACATGAGGTAGATCCTGAGTCAGCTATTTAGGAGTCTGATGGCAGTCAGAAAGAAAGAGTTTTTCAGTCTAGAGGTCCTGCATTTCACACTTCCGAGCCTCCGACCGAAGGGTAGGGGTATGAACAGTCCATGCTGGGGGTGGACTGTTTATACTGCTGGTAAATGCAGATAAAAATGGGAGTTGTGCATCCCTGTTGGCAATCCTTCACTGTGCCTCTTTGCCTCCCACTTTGTTTCTAGTGAAGAGTGGTAAAAATGGGAAGCCCCACGTGTTGACCCTGCAGGACAAGGAGCAGGACAGTCTGCAGTTTGACCTGGCAGCAAGCTCTGTGGAGGAGCTGTTTGACTGGTACCAGGTGGCCTGGGACATTACACAGAGAGAGATGAGCAAGCAGTACCACAAGGAACAAGAGGTGAGTACCTCACAGTGCTGTATATGATAATATGCAGTGGAGGAAGAGCCCACCTCAAGAGGTCAGAACCTAGAAGGGACAACACATCTTGTATCACAAGAATGAGTATGGTAAATTAGGCTCTTTCTGTGCCAGTTCAGACTAATCTAACAGTATACTATACTGTATGACTGAAACAAATTACACATTTTATAACCACAAAAAGGTGTTTCAGCCACGGTCTGTCTCTGTCAGCAACATGGCGCAAACAGGAAGTGGCTGTTTTTCTGTCCAATCTTAGATGAGACAACAGGAGCAAGTGGAGAAGAAGGCAGAAGTTGCCATGGAGATGTCTGACTTGGTGGTCTACTGTCAGCCACGCAGCAAAGAGAAGGATCGCTTTGGTGAACACATGCAGATGCACTGAACACAATGACGTGCGAACACAAGCAACACACTGGTGTGATAAAGGCCTAAAGGACAAAAGCTCACCAGAGCTACATAGTGAAAATAGGGTTCATTGCAAGCACTCTGTCATTTTATGATGTTTTCCAGCAGGCTAGTTTATGGAGTTACCATTACTTTAAAACCAGACATGGTGCACCCAGTTTACTGTAGTATTCCTTCAGTACAATTAATGATTTGTTAGGTTCTAGAAAATGAATCAATGCTACACTTGGTCTTATCTATGTCAGTTCACAAGTTGAATGCTTATGTTAAACCACAGCTCTCCTGACCCCCAGCTATGAAAGAAAATGCATAAATACAAACATTAGTTAGTGTCATTTGCTGTGCACAAATAATGTCTGAATAGCTAACAATTAATTATATCATATAAATATGTATCTACATAAACATTTTGAAAATGACTACAAGAATACAATAAGACTTATTAAAAGAGACAAATGTGCATATGTGTGTTAAGACATATCCAGGTGAAAAGGCTAAAGAAGAGTTGTCCTCATTAGCCTGAAGACACTCCTACTGTGGCTAGCAGGTCATAGCAGCAGCACATGCTAAGCTAAGCTAATCATCTCCTGGCAGTAGCTTCATATTTAATGTACAGATACAGTATGAGACTGTCATCAGCCTTCTCTGTACTATAACTCTTGGCAAGATTGTAAATGGTTCAAGATTCAAACCTTCCATCCATTATCTACTGTATACTGCTTATCCTCTTGGGTCTTGGGGGACTGGAGCAAATTCCACCAGAGGCAAAGTAGTCACAGGGCTGACACATACAAACATTCACATTCATAACTACCAGCAATTCAGAGTCACCAGTTAACTTAAACCTGCCTCTGGACTGGGGAAGGAAGCCAGAGTATCCAGAGAAAACCCATGCAGGCATGGGGAGAGAATTGATCAACATTAGACTTGTGTCTCCTTTCTCCCGTAGTGTGTCCTCTCTCTCTCCTTGTACGTTTCTGCAGGTTGCCCTGGAGCTCTTTGTTTCTGATGAGCGGTCACCGGCCACATCAACCTGACCAGTGTGTGATTGTTGTGTCCTGTTGCTTTTCTTCTTTTCTCTCTCCTCTATCCACTCACCCGAGGCATAAGTCCGCCCAACAAGATCCTTGGTCTGTCGGAGGTTTCTTCCATTTAAGGGAGTTTTTCCTCCCCACTATCGCCAAGTGCTGCTCAAGGGGGATTTGTTGGGTTTTCCCTCTGTAATAATAAATAATAAGGTCTAGACTGTAGTTTGTAAAGTGTCCTGAGATGACTTTCGTTGTGAGTTGGTGCTATACAAATAAAATTTGATTTGATTTTGATTTGATTAAACAATTTAATACTTGGTTTAATACGCATGCAGGCATGGGGAGAGAATTGATCAACATTAGACTTGTGTCTCCTTTCTCCCGTAGTGTGTCCTCTCTCTCTCCTTGTACGTTTCTGCAGGTTGCCCTGGAGCTCTTTGTTTCTGATGAGCGGTCACCGGCCACATCAACCTGACCAGTGTGTGATTGTTGTGTCCTGTTGCTTTTCTTCTTTTCTCTCTCCTCTATCCACTCACCCCAACTGGTCGAGGCAGAAGGCCGCCCAACAAGAGCCTGGGTCTGTCGGAGGTTTCTTCCATTTAAGGGAGTTTTTCCTCCCCACTATCGCCAAGTGCTGCTCAAGGGGGATTTGTTGGGTTTTCCCTCTGTAATAATAAATAATAAGGTCTAGACTGTAGTTTGTAAAGTGTCCTGAGATGACTTTCGTTGTGAGTTGGTGCTATACAAATAAAATTTGATTTGATTTTGATTTGATTAAACAATTTAATACTTGGTTTAATACGCAAGGAACCACTATTGCTCCACAGTATACACAAATTTATGTTAAATTACTTAAAACTATGCTACCGTTAATGAGTTTACAGCTGACTAGTGAGAAAATAGTGCATTTGGGGCATTGAAGCTATAACAAGTATATTTGTGGGGCGACTGGGACTCAGTGGGTAGAGTGGTAGTCTCCCAACCGGAAGTTCGAATCAAAGGTCAAAGTGTTTGTCATATGCACAGTTAGGAAACGTGTTTCCCTGTACAATGAAATTCTTACTTTGCCGTCCACATGAATGCCACAAAATACAAATGAAATATAAAGTAGATGAGCAATAATACATCTAAATAGGCAGTAAAACAAAAATAAAGCACTTTAAAGCAACAACAAGAACACAATATAATGCAGAGAGAATATATGCTACATGGGAGCCGTGAAGTGCAAATATTCAGCAGTGAGTGTGCAATTATGCATGTGTAAAATGAGTATGTAAACAGTACAGATGGAATTACATGAGGTAGATCCTGAGTCAGCTATTTAGGAGTCTGATGGCAGTCAGAAAGAAAGAGTTTTTCAGTCTAGTGGTCCTGCATTTCACACTTCTGAGCCTCCAACCGGAGAGTAGGGGTATGAACAGTCCAGGCTGGTGGTGGGTGGGGTCCCTGAGGATGTAGGCAGTATTCCTATGCACCCTGCGGTAGTAAATGCTCTGCAGAGAGTCCTGGTGATTTTCTCCCGGTGCCTGCAGTCCACATGTGAAAGTGTCCTTGGGCAAGACACTGAACCCCAAGTTGTCCCCAATGGTTAGAGCTATTGGTGTGAGCTGGCACCGCAGATGGCTGCCTTGGTTCTGTACTGGAAACATATTCCCTGTGTGTAACATACTTGGCCAAATAAATAGATTATCGTTATTTGTACCCGAACAGTCCAGTCTGTGGGGAAAAACCCTTTTAGCCAAAAAAAAAAAAAGGAAATGCAGTTATATGAAGTTAGAAGTTTGATCCAAATTTTGTGAACCAGTTGTGATCTATTAGATAAATTCATTTGTAGGAAGTGGAAGTCAAGTACTTAATGTACATGTGGCCTGATGCTCTCATTGCCTCCATCATTGTACAGCTCCACCTCCTACGTGCACACTGAATGGTTTGAGCTGAGCTATTTCACCCTGTGCAGACGGGCTCTGCCTTTATTGATCTTACACCACAAGTTCTTTCAACAAACAGGATGTGACCAAAGGAAAAGATCTAAAGACTAGACAGCTTCCTGTGTTATACAGTCTAAGGTGGAAATTCTACAATATACGTAACTACAGTACATCCACACAACAGATGGTGTTAGGATGAAATGCTCTAAATACTTCGAAGGCAATCGTGTAATCTAAAATTATTTCTTAATGCAAATGCTGAAATGTGCCAAAAACTATATTCATGTTAAATGATGTTTGACCTACCATGATGCACTGCCGAGGGTATCAGGCTATAGCATTATAAATCTACTGAGCCCTCTGAGAGGCAACACCATTCTCTAACTTTATGTTTCACTGCCTTTTAAGCCTCCTCTTGGCAACTTGACCTCTTGACCTCTCATTGCTTCTGCTTAGGATAACCTACATCATTTGGCCCTGCTGGCTTGATAGGCAGTAAATATGAATGCAATAGCCTGCTCAGTCAGTCCAGCTGTCACCCCTATTTACTAGCTCCACTAACAAATAACCACTAGCTCTGGCAGAAACATTACACACCATTCTCTGACCTTTATACTGTCCCTTTCCCAAGCAAAGAACAAATACCCAGCTGCATACTTACTAGGTGGCACAAGTGGGGCAGTGGTTAGTGCTGTTACCTCACAACAAAAAGGTTTGAGTCCCGGCCTACCTGATGCATTTCTGTCTGCATGTTCTCCCTGTGCCTGCGTGGGTTCACTCTGGCTTCTTCCCACAGTCCAAAGCCATAGAGCTTAGGTTGACTGGTGACTCTAAATTGCCCCTAGGAGTGTGTGCAGTTGTTTATCTACATGTCAGCCCTGATAGACTGGCGACCTGTCCAGGGTGGACCCTGCCTCTTGCCCAATGTCAGCTGGGATTGGCCACTGTGACCCTACTGAGGAATAAGTAGTATAGATGGATGGATATTCAGGCCTAAAGGAAAGGTTTGACCCTGAGAAAATTATATATTTTGTAGGCTTTTGAGGTCAACATTAGAGAATATAATTCCTGCACAAAAAAATGTAACGAATGAGCTTTTATTAAAATATTAATGCACTGTTAATGCACCCTCTCAATAACTGGTGTTTCATCGAGTTGGGCCTGACACAGACAAGGTTCAACAGTGTGTTTCAGCATCTTATCTGCACCCACAATCTCAACACATCCCTATGAAGCAAGCTAGAATTTCTCCTTTCTATAACATCACTAGCTAACAGTATGATACTAGTAAAAATCAGCTAACACATTCAGCTTCCTGACATGTTGACATTCCTAGCAGCATGCTTGACCCAGCAGTCTACAGAGCAAACAGTTAACAACAAGCAGCTAGCCACCATGGGTTTAACCACAGTATCATCTGTTTTAGTCTGGTTTATTGGTCTGTTGGTATCAGTTGTTATGGCATGAAACCAGCTATTATCAGCTGATGGTGTACCTCCTGTACCTCTCACAACTGCTCTTTTCTCTGCCTCTGCAGACTCTTGCAATTACAAAGAGGTCCGCTCCTTTGTGGAGAACAAGACGCCAGGAAAGAACCGCACCAAGGACTTCCTGCAATACAACCGCAAGGCCCTGAGTCGTGTTTACCCTAAAGGCCAGCGTGTGGAGTCCTCCAACTATGACCCTTACCCACTGTGGGTAGCTGGCTGCCACATGGTGGCTCTCAACTTTCAGACTGCAGGTAGTGTAGTTTAGCTGGGCTCAGCTGCTATAAAGGACTTACTAGTCCTACATACTGTACTTGTTCTCTTGTACTATCGTTCATCCCTATTTCTGTGCATTAGGGACCAGTCTCACCAGCATTTATGCTGCAGTCAGTGGATCACCTCCCACACAGTGTTCTTTGGTGACAGAAATTTGTTCTCTTGACCAAACACAAATCATTTTTTGTCAGTGTTGATCTTAAAGAGAATCGAGAGAGTCCAGGATCATCCTAACTGTGCTGCCATGCTAACAGAGGTTTTTTACAATTGATACTGTCGTGGCTAGAGAGAGAACAGAGACTCTCCTCTTGCAATGGAATAGATAAAGCCTAAGAAGATTGTCAGAAGCACCAGTCAGTCAAGTCACTGGATGTCGGTCCCGAGTCGGTTCCCCTGTCAGCCCCAGTCAGTCGTCGTTTCCCCCCGGCCCTCCGAGGCTGGGCTTGTGGTACACTGTTCACGGTAGCATGGTCATCCTCTCTCTCCCACTTCTTCTGCTCTAACCCAGCTTTTTATCTGCTCATACTCACACAGCCGGAGCCATGAAGACGCGGGCCCATGCCAGCTACCCACACACACCTTCTTCCTAGCATTGTCTAAACTGTCCAGTACCTGAACTTCTGGGTCGCATTGACCTAGCGCACATTTCCTTTTTCTAAACCTGAACAGAGCACACAAACAGTTCACGTAAGGCTACAGCTACAGTATATCCATTCCCTATCTGAGGAGGAAGTCACTCAGGATGTTGACCCATAGGCTAAACAAGGGGGACACAGCCCAAGATATTCCTGCTTGAGCAAGAGAAGAGAAACAGATCAAGCTTCCGTACACACTTAGCTCAGCATCCAGCACTACCTGTTTCACAAGGAGATGCAAATGAACAAATCAGTAAACTACATGTATTGATCTTGTGTTAACCACAGACCTTATTTCAGGCATCTACCCAAACACCTACTGTATTCAAAAAACCTACTGAATCGGGGAGAGGGAGCCTAATATGCAACTTCAGTTCTGGGTCTTAGGACTCACTACTGTGGCACTCTATTGAGGAAGGAACAGGTGTGGGACAATAAAGGGCAGTGGGACAGGTGTGCAGGGTGGAACAGTGAGGATCTGAGGTGGAGGAGGCAGAGAAAGAGAGGTGGAGCAGATTCTTGTTAGTGTTTTATGTAACCAGCTCCTCATCTCCTCTTATGAGGAGGACTTTCACTTACATTTTGCACTGATTTTAATACAGACATCCTAAACTTTAGGTGAAACTGTGTCTTCAGCTTTGTGGTATGACACATATGTAGAGCAGATTCATATAGTCTGTATCTATCCGCCTAGATAAATACACCCAGTTGAACAGTGCCCTCTTCAGTCTGAACGGACGTACAGGCTTTGTGCTACAGCCGGAGTTCATGCGCTGTGACAGTTACGACCCTCACCAGGAGAAGAAGAAGGTCAAGTACAACATTGTGGTTAGGGTATGTACGTATGACACACTCAGTAATAACTAGCTAACACATATCTCATCATCATGAGCTTGCTCCAGGTTCAGGGTTAAGTCTAACAGTGTGACAGTCAACCTGCATCAGTATGTCAGAAGGCCATCATCCCGACTGTCTGATTGTTTATTTGGTAATAAAATAACAAAATACTAGATGAATATCAGCAGAGAGAACTTTGTAACAGCAGCTCTGTTTGTCTTCTGCAGGTGATCGCTGCCAGACACCTTCCTAAACCCGGCCGCAGCATTGTAAGTCCATTTGTAGAGGTCGAATTATGTGGATACACAGAGGAGAAGTTCAAGACCCTCGTCTATCGTAAGGAAGCCAGACATTTTGACAAAGAAATCACCAGCTGAATCTCTGTGGTCGTGTGAACCGCGCTGTTGTTCTGCTAACTGCAGGTGATAACGGTCTGAACCCGGTGTGGAAAGCCCCAGCAGAGCCTGTAGTCTTCACCGTGTACGAGCCTGAGCTAACCTTCCTGCGCTTTGTGGTCAATGAAGAGGACATGTTCTCAGACCCCAACTTCCTGGCTCAGGCCACATTTCCTGTCAAAGGCATCCGCTCAGGTAGGAAACACACACAAGTAGCATCAAGGGCCAGAGCTGGTGAACATGAAGCTTGTGTGCTATAGCAGCCATGATCTAGGGAGAGCATTACATAACGTTACAATATGTATTTACTAGAAACAAGATTTCTGTAAACTCTACTGACTTTATTACTTTTCAGTTCTGCCGCCTCCTGTACACCTTCTGAGCCCATTCAGACTCCACATACACAGTGTGAATGATCTGAGCTCAGACATTCCTACCGTCATCTAACACATGCTGTAAATACTTTCACCCAAGAAATGTAAACTGTATCATGTATACACTACAGTACATCATTTCACCTCCGTCTGCCCCCCCACCCCCACAAAGGGCACCAGGAGTCATGAGCTGGCTGATAAGGAAGAGATCCAAGTTGTAATACACAAATCAGTTTTCATTGCTTTTTGTGCAATACTGGTAACTTTTACTTGGAGCCTTGAACAGTTATTGAAATTATTGTTGGACTTTTCAGGCTACCGCTCGGTACCTCTGAAGAACGGCTACAATGAAAACTTAGAGTTATCTTCTTTGCTGGTCTACATCAATGTAGAGCCAGCAGGGGTGAGAAACAACATGCACACACACACTGATGTTTATACTGTTTTGGTGAGGACACTCATGAACAATGTGTTGTGTTCATTTACATATACAAGGTGCATCAGAAAAGTTCCAGGACTGAGTGTGTTGTGTGAGCTATGAGTGGAGGAGGGATTAGCGTCACCGTGTGACGTAATATCCAGGCTGTGTATAACTGCAATCTCAGCTCTGTGCAGCCATTGTATGCTTTTTCAGATGCTCTTGTTAACAGCTCCTCAAGTTTAGATCATCAAGCGATGAGCACAGAGCAACAAATCAACCTGAGGTTTCTGGTCTGGCTGGGGAAAACTCAGAAATCCTGCAGAGTTTGCTTTGTTCAGTGTGCGAGAAGAGGCAAGATTTGTGGCAGGACAAGTCATAGCTGCTTCATCAGGACAGCATGCAGGCTCACAACACCCTAAGCATCCGGCGGTTCAGGGCCAAGAAGAACATCTCCGTGCTGAAGCAACCTCCCGACTCACCCAACCTGGCTTCCTGTGATTTTTTTCCTTTTTCCCAAGCTCAAGGGGGTCATCAAGGGGACCCGTTTTCTGGACCTGGAATCAAATCAAATTTTATTTGTATAGCGTCAAATCACAGCAAAAGTCATCTCAGGGCACTTTACAGAGTAAGGTTTAGACCTTACTGTTATCACTATTATTACAGGGGGAAAACCCAACAAATCCCCCTGAGCAGCACTTGGTGACAGTGGGGGGGAAAAACTCCATTTAACGGAAGAAACCTCTGACAGACCCCGGCTCTTGGTGGGCGGCCTTCTGCCTCGACCGGTTGGGGTGAGTGGATAGAGGAGAGAAAAGAAGAAAAGCAACAAGACACAACAAACAATCAAACACTGGTCAGGTTGATGTGGCTGGGGACTGCTCATCAGAAACATAGAGCCCCTGTCCTGAAACTTTTCTGACGCACCTCATACATATGTTTACAGTATTTCACAGTATCAAGTATTCAGACTTCATTTTGCACACTTGAGTGTGTTTTAATTTTATTATGGGTTACTGACTATAGACTGTTTTATCCAGTTCAAGTTAAACTTATAATACAATAAAGTGTGCAAAATGTGACAGGGTCTAAAGCCATGTGTCAACAGATCAATGTCTGTGATTGTGATCTCATGACTCTCATCATTCAGAAAGCAGAGGAGGAGCTGTACTCCTCCTCCAGCCAGCTAAGAAAAAAGCAGGCGGAGCTCAGTGAACCCTTCCTGTACGACACCCACACCAACATTCAGCGCCCCGCCCTCCCTCGCCAACACAACCACCTCATGAGGGAGGTCAGTACCAGCGAAAAACACAGGTAAGCCTCAAATACGCAGTGTGTGGGAAAGTAGGGGGTTGAATAAAATGAAATGTGGGTAAGTCCCTAATTATTTCTGCTGTCTTTTCTTTGTGTCCCAGGGCAAAAGAAAAAAAGATAAACAATAGTATGTTCTACTCCTGAGGACTCGCCTGTCAGTGTCCCATGTCCTTCCTGCCTGAACAGTGGCGAGATTTGTGATCTTTGTGCTTCATAGTTTTCCAGTTGCTACACTTTTTCCATTCTCATATAGTGAAAATAATCCACTGTCCCCCCAAAGAGTGCATTTACATTTACTTTGTACATGCACATATTGGAAGACATTAGCATAATTCTCAGGGGGGCTTCTTTAAAAGTCTTCTGGGACATATAGGAAACCATAAACTTAAGTAGAACTTATTGGGGCAGGTTAAGGGGAGGTGACTTGCATAACCCCTCTTGTAGAAGAAAAGATATGTAGTTGTACCATTTCCTTTGAGTGCGTCCCAGACGGTCACTGTAGTGCTTATTAATTCTGCATTCAGTCTGTAATCAAACTGCAACACTGATGCTTACTGTAGGTGCTATTTATTTTTAAGGGAGGAATGTTTGCTACAGCTTGTGTTGAATCTGTCTTTTGGGTTTAATTTCAAGCGCTGATGAATGTAAAAACCTGATATGGAACGAGTTGTGAGTGCGATGACTTGGAAAAGTCGTTTTTACCATGTGGTGTGATCAGTGTGACATTACTTTCTATGTGATAATGTTTATGTCTTGTTTTTTAAAGTGAAGTCAGATTAATGAAAACAAGTGACTTAGTCCATAATGATATGAACAGCTGATGTATTTAATATGAAGGCACATGATGTTTTTAGCTTTCTGTAATTCCCTGGCATCAAGGTGCACTAAGTCAATAAAGCGTGCTTGGTACAAATACACCGTGTTTATGTCATTTGACTTTCCTAAAGCTGTGTTGGATATTATTTGGGTGTTGACTGTATAAAAGATGGACAGCAACCATATCTTAGATCGCCCCCTGGTGGCTGGTTGTAGTATAGTAGATCATAAATCCTCCTCTATGTTAAAAGATGGGACATGAGCCAAACTAAAAACTGAAAGTACAAATCAAATACATTTTCCCAGAGGTGAGCTCTGTTTTGTTTTTGTAAGATATTTTCACCCTGATGTGTGTACAAGTGGTTCATTTCTCTGGTTTAGTTTGTTTTTAATAAGGTACTTACGTACATAAAAGGGCTATTTTGGGTGATTTGAGACCTTTTGATTAACCGTCCCATGCGCTCACTCAGTTTCTGGTCACTACTGCGTAGAATCAGGTTGCAAAATGCCAAGATGGCAGCTGCTGTATTCACATCATTACAGCTTCACTTTTGTATAGTGAAGGGAAGTGATGATGCCAGTGATGTTACTTGGCTCCATGAATTTACATTTCAAAAACATCCTAATGGACCGGACCTGTTGATAACAACATTGTTGTCTGTAACTTCAGCTGTAAGGACCTTTTGTACCATTGTAGTCCTGTATGTCTGAAATATAAGCTCAAGGCAAAGCATTTAGCATTGATGTATCAGGGTCATGCTAACACCACCTCTGATGCTACCTGTCTGCCTTGTCATTACCATAAGATGGCACCACCGAGGCTGGATCTGGTTCAATGAATCATGTGAATGAGTACAATAAGAACACTATACTTGACAATGTTGAAGATGGGCTGAATGCATAAATGAAGCATATAATGCATCTGAATGTGATAGCTCCTGATGTAAAAATGAAAAGATTCTTATCTCAACATGAAAAGACAGAAGGATGAGAACCAAGAAATTAGACAGCCAGTCCCTGAAGATGCTAAGCCCCCTGCAGGTGCCCATACAGGGGTTGCTGGGAGGGGAGGGGAGCGGTTGCTGGTTGCTGTATCATACTGTAAGTAGACAGACATTACACCAAAGAGAAACAAACCTAGAAGGTTTGCACCTCCATCTGAGCAAACATATGCTGCAGCTGCATCTGTAGACGTGTCCTTATCAGGCCCTGCAGTGACCTCTGAAGTGAAGAGTTAGAAGAAACCTGTCTCCTCTATGGTTACAAAATAAATGATTTTTTAATATAAATGAGATAACTTCATTAGTACAGAAATGTATTAACCATAATCTCAGTGTTGTTAAAAGTGATAGTTGCCTCCTATGTATTGAAAGCAAGAGACAGCCAGAGAATAGCATGTGAACTTCAGTTAGGGGTTAATATGTCTTAATAACCTGATAATAATAATCACTGTAGTGTAGTTAAAAAGTTCTGTATACACAGAGGTCACCATGGGTTGTAGTGTAGCATGGCAGAGCACACGATGGTGATGTTGTGCTGGTTATTGTACGGTGTCCATTAATAAAACATTAAAATCAGATAAAATAATGCATCGGACCATAGAACCATGAAAATGTGTGTCCCAAAGCAAAACTCTGAAAATTGTTTTTTATGTTTATACAATGTTATTCCAGACTCTGGTGTATGTGCCTTTGATAACGCTATGGAAACAAACACTAGTTGGAGAAATCAGACTATCTGTACTGTAAAGAAGGTGGGTTTCATGCTGTTGTTAGAAAACACAGTGCCTTTAAAAACTTTGGGCTGGCAAATCACTTCTTCTTCTTCTGTTTCCAATTGAATCGACAGATGGAAATACCCCATAGTGCCCCTTTAGCATTGGAGGAGATATTACAACCTTAACATGGTAAAAAGTCTCCATTCTTTCCTATAAACATACAGCCTAATGAATGAATAAAAACATTAGAAAATCAGATTTTTTTACAAGGTAAAATACTGGTTAAACGAGTGGTTTTGATGGATTGTGGTGAAGTATATTTTGTTTTAATGTCTCTGGGACAACCTATCACCATCTGTCTGTAATCAGGAAGTACATGATATGTGAACACTGATATCCTGAGAGTTTTGAATTAGAAACCTTGAATTATATATGGTAACCCACAGAAATAAGGGAATACATGATGTACCCCTCATGTTTAGGCAGTCTGCTCCTTCAGAGCTGTGTCTGCCTCCTTGAGGGGTTACATTTCAGTGATTACAGAGGGCAGAATATTTCTGAGGCCCAGCACAGCTGAGTGTTCAGGGGGCTGCTCGGTGGCTGTACTGTAGCTCTGGGTCACAAATGACAGCTCTGAGCAGCGTAGGCCCAGATGTAGTTTTAGCTGGGCTCCAGTCACTTCCACGCACTGGATGCAAATGAGGTGCACATCGTCTAAGAGCAGCTCTACTTGGACCAACAACTCACGTTCAAACACACTTGGCAAAAAATGTATTTCTATAGGGAATTTCTAAAGCACTATAGGGAAACATTCACACTATAGTTTGGTTTTAATAAGTGAGTACACAAAAACAGCAGCAGATTCTTTTCCTCTTGAAAGTAAATGGAGATGGCATCTCATAATGCTATAGACACACAGAGCTGTACAAACCACCACCAGACCTTTCACTTGTGACTGTCCACAGTAGCCAAAAAGCAAATCTCAGTGTGTGTCCCGACTCTGAACGCTGCAGGTATCCTCCAGGACACCCGTCACCCTCTGTGTTTGGAAGGTGTAGACATTGGGTGACCCAGCCCCACATGTTCTAACATTTTATCTTTGTGGCTCTACTGTACCTGTCTCTATTAGTCTGATGCAGAAAACTGGCTTTTGCTGGTTTTGCTTTTTCTTTTTCTGGGACTAATGAGCATACGATACAATGACCGTGTGAAATGCCACTCTGTGTGCGCTGTCATGCTTTCCTGCTCTGACAAGCTGCTTTGTTTATCAGCAGCATCCTCTGGTGTTTGCATAGAGAAGTGAAGAACGTACAGCACCTGGCATTCCCACAGTCTCCCATCCAAATGCTGCTTAGCTTCCAAGATCAGGCAGAATGTGGCTTTTTTGCCCGTTAAGTAACAAAAAAATAACATGTACTCGAACCATCCTAATGCTCAAGATTCAGCATAATTCTGGCACTTTAAAACGATGTTTCCAAAAGGGAAATTGTATTAATTAATGGAGTCCACTATATAATTGCACTCTGAAGTCTGCCTTGTAAACACAAAAAGAATGCATGCCACACACATCTGAAACATATTCACAGACAATTTATTTTTGATTGAAATTATTTAACATCATAGTTGTTATTTTTCCTGTTTAAGATGTTTTGTATTTTTATTACAACAGCCACAGAGCAGCAGAAATAACTATAACCCAGCAGGAGAAGCAGATCAATGTGGAGAAAGACTGAAAAAGAGAGAAACGTGATGGACACCCCTTTTCCAGCTGCCAACAAAAGATTTTACTACAAGGAATCATGGGTCATAAGAGTATTTTTTCAGTCCATCATATTTTGCCACATCTGATCCTCTTCATTCCTAAAGAACTGTTAAAACTCAAGCACAGCTGTACACAACTTGGAAAGTGGTAGAAAGTCTTTACAGTTTGTGTAGAAACAAAGAGAAAATAGACAAGAGGAAGGAGTCAAGATGGGAATGGAAAGCAAAACACAGTGAGCTCCACGGGATATGGAGACAAGATAGGACAGAGGAGGCATCTCTATTTGACCATCATATGTTCTACAGAAATACAAAAACCTTCCATGATAAGCCCAACATGCCAGGCCCCAGGCTCACAGTTCAGAGGAACGGCAGTTCATTAAGGCCTAAACCATGTGGGATGACAGGTTTTCACCACAGACTGCCACTTGTTTAAAGGAAAGCTTTGGGAAATATGCTTACTTGCTTTAATGCAAAGTGTTAGATCAATACCACCGTCATGTCTCTTAGCTTAGCATAAAATACATAGCACACACGCATGCAAAAAATCTTGTGTTTGTAGGGGGGCAACATGCCATGTTCCTTGGCTGGGTGCAGTGACTTCCTGAAGTCCTGTCATCGGTGTGAGGTAAACTTTTTTTTTAACTTTAGTTTTTGTTCAACAAATGATTTATAAAATTACAGGCTAGCTGTTTGCCTGTGTTTCTGGTCTATCTGCTATGCTAAGCTACCCCTATGCTAGCTGCACCTTCATATTACATTGACATGACATTGATATTGTCTATCACCTGTTCCAACCCTTCTCATTTTCTTACCTAAATAAAAAGTAGGTAAACATATGTCTGAAAATGTTCCTTCCTTTGAAATTTTCAGACTTAAAAATATCAGGTATACAACAAAAAAGTCAAACTGAATTATCGGCCAGTTTCCCAATGTTTGGAAACAACAATTTTATTTTAAAATGATAATGGCCGGTCAGCACAGTCCACCTCTGATACATCTATCTCGGGTAAACACAGACATAGAATTTGATATAAAAACGGTCAAACTTAAATTAGAAATCTCAGCTAAAGGGCAGCTTCAGTCTAAAAATACCAGCATTGGTACTGGCTTTTTAGAAAATGAACATCAGTCCAACTTTGACCAATAGGCTCTGTCGAGGCTCAAGGGTAAATCCTGGCTACAACCAAACAGAAAACAGTTTGATTGGCTCTCTGTTTGAGTCCTTAACCTCAGTGAGATAGTGATCAGACCCTTTATCATATTTCAAACCTTTTATAAAACAAAATTACAAAAAAAAAATACCAGATGATGCAGCAACATGTACATGCAAAAAAAACTTAAGAACGCAGCAAACAAACAATTGATTAAAATGATTAAATCTAAGACACTGGAAACCGAAAAGATATTGTGCATTTTAAACATACTTGATTACAGTGCACTTTGTATGTTGGGGGGGGGGACAACATCCTGCCAATGAAGGGAGGCAGAGAAAAATGCAAAGAAGGGATGGAGAAGGGATGGAGAAGAAAAAAGGAGGGAAGGACTTAAAAATGGTTCAAAGACATGAAAGGAGAAGACAGATATATACACTTGTATGTACATCATACAGGGTGGGAAGGAGAGCACGAGGTCCTAAAGCCAGACTCGAAGATGGCAGGACACAAACTGAGTCTACAGGCCAAACAGAAAACTGCCGTGGCACCCAATAAATAGAACAAAGCATTTCGTAGAGGACGGCATCCTGTCTTCTGATTTGACAAACATCTGGAGCATTCTGGAGGTCAACGCAAATAAATAAAATGGATGGATGTAGTCAGAGCACGGCTGACTAAAACAGGCTGGAAATGTAACTTGTCTTGTGTTTCCTAGGGTCACAAGACACAAGACATCATCCCAGACCACATCTAGACAGAGAGCAAAAGGAGATTCTGACATACTTGCAGTGTGTCAGGACAGTTACCACATCATATGAAATGTAGTCACAATAAACAGACAACATTTGGAGGGAATGTAGAGGGGCAGTTATGGCTGAGAGGTGCCTTCTGTTCAACCTTTTGTCCCTTGTAGCCCATGGTGACAGAATATGTACAATAATTTCACCTCATCCTATGATAAAAAGTTTTCATCCATTCAGCCTAAAAATGTCACCCATGTGTTACGGTGTGGTATAAATACAGCAGAACCATTTCAAACAGGTGGTCTGACAAAAAATAACAACAAGCAACTTGTCCACAGCTCCACTAGATGCACTGGGATCCTTCACTCTGACCTCAGCGGGGGTCAAAGACAACACAGTGTCCGTGTCTCTCCACGGGTTCCACTTGCACCGATCAGTAAAGAAATCACGCTTAAACAGGCCTGAAGAAACGAGTGCGCAAAACAAAAACGAAATTCAATGAAGATGTTTGGCAAGTGTCCTTTTCAAAACCACCTTAACCTGTTTGTATGACAGAGCCAACAAAAAAGCAGAAGATATGAGAATGTACAGCTCTCAGCTGGTAACGGGCCTCGTTTAGAGGTCCACTTCACAGGTCTACGTTAACCGCTGTGGCATGGTGCAGTGAGATCCATGTACGGGCGCTATTGTGCTCGGCTTCTTGTGTTCTGTGGTGCGAAATATATGCAATAACAAAACCAAACAAAGCGAAAAAGAGAACAAGGTGTGTACTTCATTACTGTCAGGACAAAGTCCAGGGGATACAGAGTAAGGGAGGAGTTAAAGACACTACATATAAATATTAGGCAGTCCCAGACCACCCAGCTACTGCTACACAACTGTCCTATTAAATAGTAATGGGAGATCATCGGTATGTACATAGAAAACAAATGAAAAAAGAACAAATGCTGCCATTGCCATTTAACTTTCCTAGAGAGCTTCTGAAATGTCATCACTGGGGTTTATCTTCATATATATGTTTTATATAGAAACACACAGTATATGAAAGCATGGATGTCTGGAAAAATATGTTCATTCAAGTTGATAAAAACTTTTTTTTTCCTTTTTGTGTGTGAACGTGTTGTGTATGAGGAGTAGGCACAGTCTTGCAACTCTTTTTTTCTCTGAGGTAGCACCTCATTTTCCCAATGAAAGGCCCTAGAAACTACAGCGAGAGAGTGTGACAGTGAGAATGGACGTGGTTAACAGTTCCATACATCTGTCTGGAGAGCTACATTGTGGAACAGATCGGAGAAGAGCTGGAATGTGAGCTGCTGATTCCAGCCTTCGTTGCATGATGGTAGGAGACAGAAAAAAGAAGGGCCAGAGAGGAAGGGGCTGAAACACGACAACTGGACTTAGACTAAACATGAAAACTGAGAGGCCATATGTGAAAGACAGAGCAGAGAAAGCAGAGTCCCAGTATAGTCACAACATGTCCTTGCATGTCCTGATTATGCTGTAAAACAAGGTCCTTGGAACATTGGCGACAGAAGTAAAGGAAGCAATAAGGTCCGTGAAAATTTCTCGTTTAGAAAAAAGCGACTCTGACACTAGCTGAACAACGTGTCAGAGATCTTGTGTTCAGTGATCGTCATGCTGGGATGATGTCAAGAGTTCCTGGTCTAATGATGGCAACGGTGGAGATGGATGTCTCCACACAATTTTCATGTTACACATCTGAGCTTGTGTGCAGTGTGTGCACATGTTTCTACATGTGTCTGGTGAGGTTGATCACCAGGCCTCTGTGTACCGCACATCAACGTCTTTCAGGTTTGGCAGTTTGGCCTGCAAAAAAAAACAACAAAAAGAAACAGCATGAGCACATTTTGGAAAAAGCGCCCTTTACCTGGGGTAAAGGACTGAGTCAGATTAGAACTGAGACTTCTAATGATTACCTAGCTGAAAACAAAGACTGGGAGCTGGTGGAAACTGCTAGTCAAGTCCCATCAAGAGTCCAAAAATTCAGGATCAGACTTATTCATATGCTGGGCAGCCAGCTTTGCTTTGCAGTTCCAACTCTGACTCTGGATAAGTCTACAAATAAGGTCTTCTCCCCAAATACTGGACAGTACCACTTTATTTCACAGGTCTGTAATTTCAAAATCATTCGCTTCTAATTTCAAAGTAGTTCCCTACAGAACCATGGGTAAAGCTTTATTTTATAGGTCTGCTACAGCCTGGTGAGCTCCTGAAAGTTTTCTGAAAGACTCACGTTCTGCAGTTTATCTCTGTTCCTCTGTAACTAGTACCAAAGTTCTGAGACTGGATGTTTTTTAGTCAGTCCACTGAGTTTTGACTTTATTATTGGCTTCCAGAGGAATTTCAAATAAATACAACTGCTCAATTTAAACCCCAGGTAATATGTAGTATTAATGTATGTTATTATTTGAAATGTGATACTTGGCATATGCTGAACTGTGTGCTCGTTTATAGACAGGTTTCACACTTTGCATGTGTAGCACCTACAGTCCTTTGAATAAAAGCCTCAAGTCTGTGTTAGCGTAGCATTTAAAAATGACTGGAAGTGTACCAACCGATCTCTCTCTAATTTTAGTTATAATTAGTGCAAAATTATATAGTTCTTTCAAAGAAATATATAAGAAAATAATTTGGGAAAAAATGGGCATTGCAAATCTGTAAACTAAAGTGTTACCAAACTATGCAATTTGGTAATAACTATATAGGATATGGCCCTGAAAGAAACCATCATCACACATTGTCATTTTACCATGGGCAGAGCCAGGGGGTGGCCAGGGGGGCACTGGCCACCTCCAGAATCTGATTAGCCAGCTCGTTAGAGTCTAAATGTGATGCTTGTTAAAACCCTATCAACCTTAAAGGACCCTATTTAGGGTCCTCTCGGGCTTAACGGAAAATATGGGAATGCTACGTTTGTTGTGATAGACGAGCCCCAACAATGTATAAATCAAAATGTTCAGCGAAACCTCGGCTACAACATAAACCATTTTTCCACACAATAAACACAGCAAAAGCAATAAAGCACAATAAAGCAACATCTCATGTCCACTAGGGGGCGTTCTGCCAGGCATACGATTCATATTTTGTAATATTTTACAGACTATAATCCATCAAAACACCGCCACGGCTCAAAACAAAGCCTACACTGCACAGATTCCATAAATGCATCGGTAAAAACGCTACGTAAAAGCGTTACAGAGATACAAGCCAACAAACTTCAACAACAAACATCGATTCGCGAAAAGTACAGCGAAATTTCTCATCTTACCTTTGATGTTTTTATGTAGAAAAATAAGTTTTTCCGACGCAAACACTGCATTTCCTGACTCAAAAAATGGCGTCTGTTTGGAAAATACCATTATTTCTAAGTTAGGGGGATTCTGGCTGGATAGAAACAGGTTTACATTGGTGCTGGCCAGAAACCCCCCCTGCCCTTATGGTGTGGTCTTTTCGACTGCCATTGGTCCACGATGAGGAGATGGCCAGCTCCAACTGTGCCGTGTTCCATCTTTATTTACTTTCCAAAATAAAACATCGAATGGTATTTACACCTCCTGATAAATCCCACCAGTGTTCCCTTTCGTTTGACACCAAGAGTAACCAAATACACCGTGTGGTTGCGGAGATATACACATTTTATTTCGGGGAGGCGCCGTCGATTTAAATCCCCCAAACAGGCTTCGGGCTTATTATTAAACATTAATGATTGAAAAATTAAAATCAATGACAAACTGTTGCCTTAAATACAACTAACATTCTTCTGCTGCTTTATTTTCTATCATGTGTGCAGCATTATATTTGCATTCATTTCTCCGGTTGCGTTGTTGTGGAGTATTTGGCACGATTTGTCTTGGTAGGAGAGGGAACCCTGGCCTGGAAAATAGGGAGTGCCAAAATTTTTCAGATCCACCCCTGAATTAAAAAAAAAACCCAAAACAACCAACTATTTAAAAACCCAGCAGACAAAGAGTAACATTATCATTTGAAGTGTGGCTGCCTAGAAACTGTCTGGTTGTTTGGCTGCTAAATGCTTCGTTACGTTCACTGCTAACTTTATGTGTCTGCCTTCTACTGATGGGCCGGTAGTTTACAGGGAGAGTATCAGAGCTTTTCATGGAAAACAGCTGCCTGCCACTGCCCAAAACAAGACTGTTGACAGCAGTAACACTGAACCAGATCAGTGGGTTGAAAAACTAAAACAATCAGCTGAAAGACACTAAAATGCTTTGGCAATGATTTCCGGTATTTTCTATAAACTCCAGATGACAGTGCGACTTTTCACCAGTTAATACATGAAAACCTGACAACATAAAGCACATTTAAAAATATGAATGCAGATTGTGTTGGGGTGTAGCAAAAAAGAGATCTAAATAAATAGTGATGTCTATTTTTAGGTCATTCTGGTGAAAATGGTTGATTAGCAGTCAGGATGAGTCGTCTGGCAGTGTTACGGTACCTTGAGGTCCTCATACGTGTCTGCTGTGAGCTTGGTGCTGTTCATATTCAGACTGCACAGACTCTTCATGGCTGAAAAAGGCAGACAGTACAAACTGGCTACAGTTAGCTTCCACACAAACAACTGACTTACTGAACATGTTAACTCTAGCATATCCTTGTAGCTTTGCCTTTCTATCACTGTAACACATCTCCTAGTCAGTCTTGCTGTTGCTCAGTCTCGGTTTCTGCATAATAAAACTACTTTCTACAACATCATGATTCATTTTGTGTGTTTTCTTACAACTGAGAGCCAGCAGACCAGCATCAGTGACAGGAGTCTCACACAGGTTCAAAACCTGAAGACAGGCCAGATGCTCAGATAACAACCTCAGCCCCGCATCTCCAAACTGAAGGGTGAAACAATACAAAGACAAAAGGACAGACATTAGACATTATAAACATTTATGGGATCACTAGCCACTATGTGTGCGGCTGTTGGTGGCTGAGCCAGTATTATTCTCTCCAGTGTGTGTGTAGCAGATGAATGTGAAAAGTGAACATTCTCAAAATATTACATGTGCATATTATTTTATTTTGGGAGGTTAACGCCCACTTTTATTCTTGAGCTGTCCAGGCGGTGCATTTATTTCACTAAAGTTCTTCGTTTCATGTAATGGTGTCTAATATTTTTGCACAAACATATTGACTTGAATGGTTTTGTTGGTCAGGAGTTTTATTTTGAAGGCCATTGTCCCGTTATGTTGTTTCCTGTTTTTTCGCGGTCCTCCTCAGTTACTGTGGAAAGTTGAGGAGAGGTGACATGTATACTGTGTTCTTGTAATTTTAAGTGTTTTATTTCCATGAAAACCACACTTTACTGTTCAGACTGTTGTGGTACAGAGTTATAAGCCATTGTTCTCTATTGCATTGTTGCTAAGTGTGTGAAAATCGTTCTGTCCTGTGTGAAGTACACCACTTTATTAACGTGCAAACTAGCGCTGGTTGCAATGTTTTAGCTAGGTTGAAGCGCATCGAAGGTCTCACATGGAGTCTGTTGTCACCTTTTTTGCCCTTCAGATGTGCAACAGGGAGACCCAATAAGTGGATGTACTGGTTCAATTGTGTTTCACACAGGTAATAAGAGGGTTTTATTTGTATTATCATTTTGATTTATTTAACACACTCTCAGTTACTGTGGAAAGCTGAGGAGAGATGTGCAACAGGGAGACCCAATAAGT